GATGAGGAGGAGGAGGACCCAAGGAGGTGGAGGTTCTCAATGCACCCCTGCACCTCTTCCTTCCCCGTTGTTGCCGCCGCCTCGTTTGCCTTGCCCCCGCCTACTCCTCTGTTGCCGTTGCTCCTCCCCCCCACAAGAGCTCGATTGCAGTGTGCTGAAAATTATTGGTCAATTATGCTTTTTTCCCCTCCCCTTTCCCCCCGTCCTTCTCGCTCTCCATCCCCCGGTCGTTGAAAGTATGTATTTTTGAATGCCCAAGCCCCAATCTACTTTAGGCGCCTTCCGACTTCCAGAGTCGAGTGGTATTCCCCTTGCCCTCGTCCTCAGGGGGCGGGCGGAAGCCCAAACTACTTTCAACGCCTTCCTACTTCATGTTTCTGCCCACTTCTTCCGGCCACCGAGTACCTAGTATGAATACTATTCTCTTCTCTACCCCGAGATGGCTGGAGGTTGGAACGACTCCTCCGTCTACTTATTTTGCTTGGTTTGCTACAAACAGGATTTAAACAGTTGATGTTTTCGATACTTTTTTTCCCCTGATCGAAGCGTTTTCGGGCTCGCAAAACGGTGCTGCCGCTGCAGAGTGGGCTTTATGTTAGGATCGGCGCTTTGCTCCCGCCGTGCAGACGTGCATTCTCGCCCCAGGGCGGACCACTTTTCTGGATCTCTGAGTGCTTCCCGGTCGTTGTCGTCCCGCTCCTTCCCCCTCTCCCCCTTCCCCTGGTCATCCTGCTTGTCCCGCTTCTCCCACTCCAGCTCCTGCTGCTGCTGCTGCTTCTGTTCCTCCTCCTCGTCCTCCTCCCTCCTCCTCCTCCTCCTTCTCCTCCTCCTCTTCCTCCTTCCTCCTCCTTTCTCCTTCACCTCCTTCCTCCTTCTTCCTCATCCACCTCCGCCCTCCTGCTCGTCCACCACCTCCTCCTCCAGTGTACGCAGCCGCCTTGTTCCGACTGCCAGTAAGGGGCGGCAGTTCCCCCCCTTGAGAAACAGCTCGAACCCCTCTCGAGGCGGTAGGGTTATTTTCCTCCCTAGCCCCCCCCCCTCAATTTTTTTTTGGGGGGGGGAGGGATTTTTCCCTCTGGACCCTTTCACCCCCCCCAATTTTTTATTATTTTTTGGGGGGGTCGGGGTTTTCCCTCTCCACCTTCCCCCACCCTCAGGTTTTTTGTTGCGGGGGGGGGTCAGCGCGACCTTCCCGAGCTCGACGGGGACCTGACCTACGCGCAGATCGCCGCTGGCTGGCGCCACACGGCCAGGCTCAGGAGCGCTGGCTCCGCCGTGGCTCACGGCGAGCTGGCGCTGGTCACTGCGACCTCCTGGCGCTCGTCGGGGGCCTGACCTGCGTGGAGGTCGCTGCTGGGGTTAATTACACCGCGCGGCCCTGTTCAGGAGTTACAGCGGCGCCGTGGCCTGTGGCGGGAGCAGTAACGGCCACTGCCTCCTCACGGGCTCGTCAGGGGCCTCATCTGCGTGCAGGGCAACGCTGGGCGTGGCCAGACGGCCCCGCTCAGAAGCAACGGTACCCCCGTGGCCTGCGGCTTGCGACGATGGCCGGTGCAGACTTCGGTTGGAGTGTGTTGGCGCGCAGCGTGGCCGCGGAGAGGCAGTCCACGTCTGCTGAGATGGCGGATGACCGCCTCGCCTTCACAGCGTTCAGCGGGATGTTATCCCAGGAGACGGCTGAGAGGCGCGAGGTTGCAGCAGCCGCAGCTGGTAAGCTCTGCGCCTACGACAACTACAACTTGCTTTCCAAGCCGACCAAGGCTCCCACACACCAGCTCCGGCACCACGGTCTCGATCTTGCCCTCTTCGGCTGGCAGGCCTTGGGCTCTTCAAGCCGACCAGGGCTGCTGACCAATCACGGCAAACACGCGGGGCAGGTTTGCCTGCTCCTCGCCTACGGCAGTTTGAATTTGATAAGGGGGACAGCGCCAGGGGCGGCCAGGGGGGTCCAGCGCCGATCCAAGACATCCGCGCGGACCTCCGAGTTTTTATGTTCATGTCATTGTTTGTTCCCCTATGAATGTGATCTTCAAGCCGACCAAGGTTGCCGAGCACCAGCTCGGCCCCGGGGGGAAGCCGGCTGCAGTGCCGTCGATCATCCAGCTCCCGTTCGGCGGCGCGAAGGTAACCGCGCTTTTTGGAGCCTCGCGGCCTGGGCCGCGACGGCGCCTTTCTCTCCAGCTGGGGCTCTGCGGGAGCGCGAAGCTATGAGCGCGTCGCGCATCGCGGGGCGCGACCCGCAGTTGTTGTCGGTGGCGAGCGAAGGGGGGAAGTGAGAAGGAGAAGGCGGCGAGGCTTCTCAGAAGCCCTCGCGGCTTCTGAGAAGTTCTTTCTGCCTTCGGGGAAGGCTTAGAGCACTTCTCAGAAAGCCGGGGGACTTCCGGACCTTCTGAGTAGGCCTTCTCCTTCTCAGTCCCCCCCCTCTCTCGCCGCCGATGTTGGTGACCTAGCTGATTGCTGGCTGCGGCTGCCCCGCACCGGCTCTGGCCCAAGGCAGAAGCTCGCCGCGAAGCTGCCCACGATCCAGACCACCATCTGAGGTGCGATGATGACGGCGCTTCGCGGCTTGGGCCGCAAAGGTGCGCTTGTCTGGGCGGGCGATCCGAGGGCGCGAAGATTGTTGCGCGTCGCGCGCCGCGGGGCTGACTGACGGACTGCGGCCTTGCGGCCCCCTACGGACGCGTAGGCAAAAACAGCAAAAGCAGAAGCAGCGTGCCCACAAGCATGCGCGCAGTCAATGCGTCGTAAGCACAGGCTGCCCACTGCTGTCTGGGGCGCCCCCGGCGCCTGCGGCCCGCCCAGCTCCTGGGAGTGCCGTCGCCGTTGCACACACGTCTCCTCACAAGCGACCCGTCGGTCTCTTAGAAGCTATCTTCCTGTAGAGCACCACGTGGCGTTCCCGTAACATTGAAGACAATGGTCTCGACTCGGCGTTTGCCAACACCGTCGCGCTGCTGACGTGCGGTATGCGAGAGTGGTGAATCCGCAGAATTCGGCGAAGACGTTTGCAGTGGAATGCGTCGAGCTTGTCCATGTCTTGCTTCAGGGGCCACAGCGAGTGCAATGAGTGCAGCAATTTACCGACCACACAGCTGCTGTAAATGAGCACTTTGCGCCGCCACCCAACGGCATAATGCGCCCACAACAATTTGGAAAGCTGCTGAAATGCTCCTCTGTCCTCTCCCAAACGTCTTGATAATTCATTACCAGCTCGTCCATCATGAGTGACCAGGCCCTCCAAATATATGGCATCCTGCACTATTCTGATTGGGCGTCCGTCTGGCTTCCTGACCAAAGCGTCAGACCCAATCTGGATTAGTACTGTTTTGTCCCAGTTCATTCCCAATCCGTATTTCTGTCCTTCCAACACGATGACGTCCAACATGCGCTGTAGATTCCCACGGTGTTGTGAAACAAGTGCAGTATCATCAGCGAATCAGATACCCTGGTAACCATATAGTCTGGGTCTTGCTGAAGGCGCAGGTCAGAGAAGGCGTCGTGGAGCATTACAGTTTGCACAGATAAAGGATATCCCTGGGCGATCCCTGCCACCCGTGAAGCTGTTGCGAACGTTCAGGACGAAAGTACGCGGCGCTGGGACGAGAGCCACATTTTGAAAACGACCCGCCCTCCATGTGTGAAACGGTTGCGCATGTCAAGCTTCAGGTGAAACGCTCGGCCCGCCCTACCGACACGTCTGGGGGTGCGGCAGGGAGGAGTTACTTGTAAAGTCAAGGGATGGAGGAGGCTGAGGATGAGGCGGAGGAAGAGGAGGAGGAAGAGGAGGAGGAGGAGGAGGAGGAGGAGGAAGAGGAGGAGGAAGATGAGGAGGAAGAGGAGGAGGAGGAAGAGGAGGAGGAGGGGGAGGAGGAGGAGGAGGGGGAGGAGGAGGAGGAGGAGGATGAGACTGGCGTGACTACCTCGGCCCACCCTGGTGGCGGAATCGAGCAGCGTGCGGTGGGCCCATGTGAGCGGCGCGCAGAAACGGGGTCGTCTGCGCTGACGTTGGCGCGTAAGCGTCCCGCGCAAGGTCGCGCGGAAGCGCCCTCGTCTCCTTGAAGACAAGCCGTTTCAGAGCTCCCCCGTGGGAGAACCCTCCAAAACATAGTCCCCAGACCCCCCAGGCCCTCCAAGATAGCCTGGAAGAGACCCCCCCCGAAATGAGACCCCCCTCCCTTTATTACGAAATCTGGAGTAGCGTGCCGCGCAGGTACGCCACCGCGTAAGGTCGATACGGCATCTTGCGTGAACCCCCTTTCTTTTCGTGGCCCATGGGTTCGGTAGAAAGTCATGGGAGCCTGGAGTACCCTCTCAATTCCGTCTTCAGCGTCGACTAGCGTCGCTTAGCGTTTGGGAGTGATGAGGTAGCTCCGATTTGGCGTCGGTTAGCGTCGATTTAGCGTCGATTTAGCGTCGATTGGCGTCGATTTTGCGTCGACTGGCGTCGATCCGCAAGCGCCGACAAGCTGGTGTGGGAGGCCCCCCACGAGTTGCCACCTCAGCCGCTCTGATGCGCACGTTCTGAAACGCAACGCGTGCCGTGTTCAAACCGTCCGTGTTCAAGACGTACGTGTTCAGCCCGCGTGCGGAGCTCCGTATATATACGCTGCGTGCTGCCAGGGGGCCACATGCGAAACTTACCCCCGCCCCCCACGATTTCTGAGGGGGAGGGTGGGGCTCGCTTCGCTCGGGAACTCCCGGGTGGAGCGAACCCCCCCCTCCCCCTCAGAGATCGTGGGGGGCAGGGGGTAAGTTTCGCATGTGGCCCCCTGGCAGCACGCAGCGTATTGATACGGAGCTCAGCACGCGGGCTGAACACGTACGTTTTGAACACGGACGGTTTGAACACGGCACGCGTTGCGTTTCAGAACGTGCGCATCAGAGCGGCTGAGGTGGCAACTCGTGGGGGGGCCTCCCTTAGTTGCGTGCTGCGTGCTGCGTGCAGCCGCGGCTGCCACCGCACGCGAGGGGCACCCCTGCTGGCCCGCCTCCGCACGGCCCGCCCCGCAGAGCGCCGACCTGCGACCGTCTGCCCCTCACGCCCCGCGCTCGCCCGCGGCCCCCTGGTGGCGGGCGTGCCCCCCTTGAGCCTTGTGGCGCCGTCGTTGTCTTCTTCGTTGTTTTGCCGATCGGAGCGAGTCTCGCGCCCCCCCCCCTCCCCCCCCCCTCGTGGAGAAGATCTTGGCCGTTGTGGGGGCCTGTTTCAGGCAGGTGGGGTCCCTCCCCCGTCGGACGCACTGCTGCAAACAGTCGCACTAAGCAGAGGTCCAGAGCCAAACCCCCCCCCCCTCCCCTTCCCCCCTCCGCCCAATGCCGAAACGCCGAATAAGAAAACGTTCACAAGGGCTGTAGGATGCGATCGCCGACAGGACAGCTGCCAGGCTCGAGCGGAGCTGTCGATCGGAGGAGGAAAAGGTACCCATACCCCTCCCCTCCCCTGTTTTCCCCTTCTCCTGGGAGGCCCTCGTCGCCACCGCTGGATTCGCCTCGAAATCCTGGTCAGAACGCGCCCCAGGCGAGGTCCAGGGAGTAACAGCATCGGTACCTTTGGGTTTCCCCAGTTGACCTCGTGCCGCAGTGGACCCCAGCATAAGTATACAGTGGGCACGTCAGGTAAGGAATTGGCCTGTCAGCGGGTGCCCCGCGGTAGCTCCTTGTCCCCCGATGGGGCCCGGCGCGCCCTGCGAAGCTCAGGGTCGGATAATGATGTGCCTCGTGGCTTCTCTTAAGTCGGGCTTGTCCATTCAAAAATTGTCAAAACATAGTCTGGGGATTATTTTTCAGTATTTTTTGACCATGACGGGTCATTTTTTGAGTATTTTGGAAGATCCCCCTGTAGGGGGACACGCCCGACTTAAGGCTTCTTGCAGTAAGATTTCGTATTTTATGTGCCTGCTGTAGGCATTGGTCATGGCCCCCTGGCCTGTGGCGCCAGCGATCTCCTGGGGACGCGCACGGTGTACAGATCAGCCCCGGACAGTCTTCGTTCGCCCCCGCACACGAAGCAGCACGACCGCTCCATATTCGGTAGAGTCCAGCCAAGGCGCTGAAGTGATGACCACCTTGGGCTCAGGAGATCGTAGGAGGATGAGGAGGCGGAGGAAGAAGAGGAGGAGGCGGAGGAGGGGAATGTTGATGAGGATGAGGATGAAGGGTCGGAGGAGGAGGATGAGGAGGCGGAGGAAGAAGAGGAGGAGGCGGAGGAGGGGAATGTTGATGAGGATGAGGATGAAGGGTCGGAGGAGGAGGAGGAGGATGAAGCGGAGGCGGAGGAGGATGAGGAGGAGGCGGCGGAGGAGGAGGCGGAGGAGGAGAAGGAGGTGAGGAGGATGAGGAGGAGGAGGAGGAGGAGGAGGAAAAAGGAGGAGGAGAGGAGGAGGAGGAGGAGGAGAGGAGGGGAGGAGGAGGAGGAGGAGGCGGAGAGGAGGAGGAGTTGGAGGAGGAGTTGGAGCAGGAGCCTCGTCCCCCATCGGCCGCCGGGGGCCGGCGGAGGCCGGCGGCAGCGCAACGGGAGCGGGCCCGCCGGCGGGAGCGGGCCCGCCAGCGGGAGCTCGGTGGGACTCTTCTTTCCTCCTCCTCCTCCTCCTCCTCCCCCCCTCTCCTCCTCCCCTCCTCCTCCTCCCTCCTCTCTCCTCCTCTCCTCCCCTCCTCCAGCTCGGAGCGGGAGCTCGGTCGGGCGGTCACCCACCAGCCCACCCCAACCCAACCCGAAGGCCCCGATTTGCCCTCCATTTCCAGTGGGGGGGGGGGGGGGTCGGGGGAAGAGCGGAACAACACATATGGAACCCGCGCCCCCCCCCCCCCACATCCGGCATTCGGGTCTTCGGGTTGGGTTGGGGTGGTCTGGTAGGTAGGCAGGAGGAGGGGGGACTGGCAGAGGCCGCCGAGCGAGCGAGCGAGCGAGCAGCCAGAGCTATCGCCCGCCTATGCTGAAGTCGGGCGTATCCCTCTCTAGAGGGGGAGTATTCAGAAATAGTCAAAACGTAGTCGGGGGGGCGATTTCTGATTAGTTTTTGTCTATCTTGGGGCATTTGGTGAGGATCTCTAATTTTTCGCCCAAATCCGCCTGTTGGGGGACAGGCCCGACCTAAAGCCAGAGTTATCGCCCGCCTAGACGTTGACACCAACACCAACATCGGCGGTGTGCCTCCACCGAGGGGAGAGGATCCCGATCTCGGCAATGGTGGTAATATTCGGGCTGCCTGGGTGGCCGAAAGATTACAACGGACACCAACATCTAGGAGCGTCTTCCATCCGTGGATGCAAACCCCGGTGCTGGTGTTGGTGCCCATGGTCAAGCCTCCACAGTTACACCACGATGCTCCTGTCCTCTCTGAGGAGGGGATCGGCACCACCCCAACATACCGATCCTGTGTGCGCGTCGCCCCCCCGAGGGGCGACGCGCGCGCCGAGATAGCTTCTAGTATAATCTCCGTGGCGGGCGCTTTCCGGCCACACCGCTCGGGAGCTGGTATACTGCAAGACGCTTGTCATGTCGGG